TCTCTGCCACTATCACTGCTGCCTTGGGGCCACCCAGCAGGGCAGTGGCAGCAGTGCAGAGGAGCCTCAGGGCAACCCAGGTGCGGACTCAGAGCAGCTGCAGCAAGAAGGGCCTGGAAGTGGCGAAGTGGAAGAGCTGCTTTTTCCCTGCACTGAACTGCAGCTCCTACGCTGTGCATGCGGATTCTGGCTGGTTGAGCTGGTCCGCTCCGCCAGGCTGGGTCCAGGGCAGGCTGGGGTCGGGGCTGTGTACGCGGGTCCCCACCAGTACTACAGGGCTGGGGCCAGCGGTGGTGGCAGCCAAAAGGAGCTGCCACCACTACTTTGGCTGCCTAGAAAGACAGTCCAGCTGTGGAACTGCCCCAGCCCCACTGCGTGCCCAGGTGGTGGTGGGTCGTGTCACAGGCCAGACAGTGCCTGGGCCAGGCAGAACTGAGGGACCTGCTGTGTGCCAGATAAAATCTCTCTGCAGGCCAGATCTGGATCCGGCCTGTGGGCTGTATTTTGCCCTCCTCTGGTATAAACTGTTTAGGAAGAACAGGTGGGGAGAAGAGGAGGAGGTGTTGCACTTTATATAGAAGAGCCATATGATTATTCAGAGCTCCAGTATGAAACTGGAGATAGGCCTGTTGAAAGTCTCTGGGTTAGGGTAAGAGTGGGGAGAGCAACAAGGGTGATGTCATGGTGGGTGTCTCCTATAGACCACCAGACGAGGATGTGGTGGATGAGGCTTTCTTCAAACAAGTTCTCCATCACAGGCACTAGATCTCATGTGGGACTTGAATCACCCTGCCCCTGCTAGGAGGACACTACAGCAGCGCACAGGCAATCCAGGAAGTTTTTGAAGTGTTGGAGACAACTTCCTGGTGGAAGTGCTGGATGGCCATCTAGGGGCCATGCACTTCTTGACCTTCTGCTCACAAACAGGGAAGACTTGGTGGGGATTGTAGTAGTAATGGATGGCAGCTTGGGCAGCGGCGACCACGAGATGAATGAGTTCGGGATCCTGAGGAAAGGAAGGATGGAGAGCAGCAGAGTACGGACCCTGGACTTCAGAAAAGCAGACTGACTTGCTCAGGGAACTCATGGGCAGGATCCCCTGGGAGTCCAGGAGCACTGGCTGCTTTCAAGAAGCCTTACTGAGAGTGCAGAAACAAGCCATCCTAATGCACAGGAAGACTATCAAGTATGGCAGAAGACCAGCTTGGCTTAGCAGGGAACTCTTTAGTAAGGTAAATCACAAAAAGAAAGCTTATAAGAAGTTGAAACTTGGACAAACAACTAGGGAGGCATATAAGAGAACAGCTTGGGCATGCAGGGATGAAGTCAGGAAGGCCAAAGTGGAATTGGAGTTGTAGCTAGCAAGAGATGTGAAGGGTAACAGGAGGGGTTTCTACAAGTATGTCAGCAACAAAAGGAGGATCAGGGAAAGTGTG